ACAGCCATGAGCTCAAGCAGATCAGAGAGGATTAGAATAATGCAGGACACAGCAGGGCTCGGCTGTCTTGTTCACCAAGTCACTCAGTAGTTGTAGCCTCCACCATCAAACAACTACAAAGTCCAGTCTGTGTGTTGGGTAATTCACCTTGTGCAGGTGAGGCCCTTCTGAACATTGACTCACTGGGTGGTGTGTGTGTGTGTGTGTGTGTATCCCGGGGCCAGGCACAGAAGGGACGGCCGCCGCAAACTTCTCCTGCTTTATTTTGGACGAAGACTTTATGAACTGCACCTGGACAAGAGGCCAGTGGGCTTCGGACGAGGTCCAGTACTTTTTGTACATCCGAGGCGGGTGAGCGAGGGATCCCAGACGTCCCCGCTGTTGGGAGGCCAGTGAGGTGGGGGATATTCTCCGTCCACCGCTCACCTTTCATTATAGAGAAGACACAGAGGTGGAATGTCCACATTACATCGATGACCGGGGGACTCATGTCGGCTGTCACATCCACCACCTCTTGGGATCATACTCTGACTTCTATTTCCTGGTGAACGGGACCAGCCCAGAATCGAAGATCCCATTCTTTGATGCTTTTTTGACAAGGAGTGAGATGCGTAAGCACATTTTCCTCCCCCACACAAAAAAAATAAATTATTTCAGGGTCCAGGTTTAGGACATTTCAGGGTCCAGGTTCAGGACATTTCAGGGTCCAGGTTTAAGATACTTCAGGGTCCAGGTTTAGGGCGTTTCAGGGTCCAGGTTTAGGACACTTCAGGGTCCAGGTTTAGGACATTTCAGGGTCCAGGTTTAGGACATTTCAGGGGCCAGGTTCACACATTTCAGGGGCCAGGTTTAGGACATTTCAGGGTCCAGGTTTAGGAATTTTAGGGGCCAGGTTTAGGACTCCAAGCTGCCTTTCTGAGATGCACAAGGCCAGGTGTTGCCAGAGGCGTGTCATGAATTCTTCTTTCAGAAATGTATCGTCCACCTACAAACATCTCTGTGACGTGCAACCGTACACACTGCCTCGTGACATGGGAACGGCCCAGCACTCAGAAGCTCATGTCCACCAGGGAGCAGGACTTTGATGTGGACATCCGATCAAAGGTAATGGGGTGAGGGGGGCTGTAGGGCCCGCTAGACTTCCACTGCAGGCTGGTGGGAGCCGCGGGACAAGCTGGACCCTTAGCCGTGTTTGTGGGAGCTAAAATGCCGGCAAAGGGTGATGGGAGACAGTTGGCCCAAAGTGGACAGTCCGCAGGGGTCACTGGACCTGAAGCATCACCTGGAACTCCAACAGGGAGCAATGGGGGGGTGTGGTACGATGTGGACAGGGAGCACCGGGTAATGGACAGTACAGGACAAGCTGGACAGACAGCAGTGGGTAATGGGGGGTGTGGTATGACATAGACAGCAGGCACCTGGTAATGGACAGAACAGGATAAACTGGACAGCCAGCAGTGGGGATGTGAAATGACATGGCCAGTGATCACTGGGTAATGGACACTGCGGGACAAGCTGGACAGCAGGAAGTGGGTAATGGACACTAAAGAACAAGCTGGACAGTGAGCACTGGGTAATGGACACTGTGGGACAAACTGGACACTGACCACTGGGTAATGGACACTGTGGGACAAGCTTGACACTGACTGCTGGGTAATGGACACTGAAGAACAAGCTGGACACTGACCACTGGGTAATGGACACTGAAGAACAAGCTGGACACTGACCACTGGGTAATGGACACTGAAAAACAAGCTGGACACTGACCACTGGGTAACAGACACTGAAGAACAAGCTGGACAGTGACCACTGGATAATGGACACTTAAGAACAAGGTGGACAGCGAGCAGTGGGTAACAGACACTGTGGGACAAGCTCGACACTGACCACTGGGTAATGGACACTTAAGAACAAGGTGGAAAGTGACCACTGGGTAATGGACACTGCGGGACAAGCTCGACAGTGAGCACTGGGTAATGGACACTGCGGGACAAGCTCGACAGTGAGCACTGGGTAATGGACACTGTGGGACAAGTTGGACAGTGACCACTGGGTAATGGACACTGCAGGACAAGCAGGACGGTGAGCAATGGACAGTGGGGGTTGTGGTATGACATGGCCAGTGGCCACTGCGTAATGGACAGTACAGGACAAGCTGGACAGTGACCACTGGGTAATGGACACTGCAGGACTAGCTGGACAGTCAAGAGTGGATAATGGGGATGTGGTACAATGTGGACAGTAATGGACAGTACAGGGCAAGCTAGACACTCAGCAATGGTCATGGGCCACAAGGTACCAGCTGGACCCCCCGCCGCAGCTAACAGGAGCTGAGGGACGCGATCCTCCTCCCAGAGCAATGGCACATGCTGGACAGTCAGGGGCGGTCAGGGAGCTGCTGTAAGCACTGGACTTGCCCCACTGGGTAACGGGAGTGGAGCAGCCACTGGACGGTCATCAGTCGCTGATACCAGCTGAGTCCCAGCAAAGAGAACTGTGTCTGGGGACAGAGAAACCAGGTCGATGCAGAGACGAGGCTCTTGTGCCGTTGGTCAGTGCAGACGGCCTCACGTCCACGGCAGCCGTGGTGATGGGCTTACTGGGAACCACTGGCTGCTGTAGGGGGCAGGGGCTCTGATTCACTGAGCCCTCAGGCCCAAACCAGCTGGGAGGAAGCTGCTGGACATGTGTTCTCCAAGCCTTGTGCTCCAAGAGGCATTGACTTCAGCTCTACGGTGGACGGAAGGGGCCCAGGAATTCACAGATAGGAAATGCATAGGGATTCTCTCAGAGGGCATCTGACAGGAGAGACTGGACAGGGCCTCGTAAACCACTTTGTAAGTGTACACACCTGGACTTCCTGCTTTCTTCTCTCCACAGGGGAGTCCAGACAGTGATCACAGCGAAATAAAGGTGAGTGAAATGACGGTATCCTAAGCACGCTTCTGCTAAGTCCTGCAATGTCCTGTTACAGTGCAAAGGTGAACGGGGCCCAGGAGGGACTGGGAGTCTTGGATCAGAATCCCAGAGGATTCTGTTGGATATTGAAGCAAGAAGATCCAAGGCGTGTGGACGTCTTTGAGCTGTGGTGTTGAAGAAGAGTGTTGAATATTCCACAAAATGAACACGTCTATCTTGGAGGAAGTGCAAACAGGGTGCCCCCTGAGAGGCCAGCATGGGGACACTTGATCTCACATCCTTGGGGCATGTGGTCAGAGGCAGCCTGTCCTTGCAGAAGGACACCCTGCTGGGAACAGTACAGGGTCAGTGCACCAGAGTCTTTCTTATTCATCGTTCAATTTTAAATACATATGAAACAATTTCCATTGCCACAGCTTGGATCACCCACACCTTAGTCATTACAGTGATGTCCTTGTCTCTCAACTGCCGTTCATCAAGAAAACAGGAAGAAAATCCTCGAGGGAAATTCTCTTCCACCATAGTTTGAGGACTAAGGTGCACCTGATGCAGACCATGGTCTTTTCCAATCTCTTTCTGTGCATGTGAGAGGTGGGCAGTGAATAAGGACGACAAAATGAGAGAATTGATGCCTCTGAGCTGTGGTGTTGGAGGAGAGCACCAAACATCCCAGGAGCTGACAAGAGAACACAGAGGTCTGTCCTGGTGAGGGTGCAGCCTGAGTGCTCTTTGGAGGTCAGGATGGGGACACTTGGTCTCACGTCCGTTGGGGCCTGTGGTCAGGATGGGTCAGTCCTTGGAGAAGGACATCATTCTGGGGCAGGTAGAGGGTCAGAGAGAGAGAGAGGAAGACCGTCCATGAAATGGGTGGACACGGTGACCACAGCTGTCGGCTGAAGGGTGTCAGAGATGGTGAGAACGGGACAGAACAGGACAGGGTCACTGTGAGTCATCCTTGACTCAATGGGCCCTTACAACAACACCTACACCTTATGGGGTCATTGTGATTCAGCATCTATGGGATGGGAATCTGTCTGTGCACAATTGTTGATGAAGGAATATTTCTACACTCACCTCTGTGCTCCTGTGTGTCTCTGCTTTCACATCAGTTATACCTCCGAGGGAACTTATAAACCAAAGCAGAACTCACACACATGTACACAAAATGTTTCCAAAGCCATGAATCTTTAAGAAAGCTGAATGACTCCACTTTCTCCCTCGAGGAAGCTTGTGGATCTGAACACCTTACCTTGGAGTTAGGGCTACAGAGCTTCCTACACCACATGACCAGGACCCCACTCCTTCCACGGCCTGGGCGTGTCCCTTTGTAGAATGACCTTTCCCTGTCGCTATCAAATTTCCCTGTCACCATCAATTTGCAAAGATTCCAGAATGCTAAGTGTTTCTGAATAACAATAATTGTTAACCTGACTTAAGGGTGTTGCTTGGGAGTGAGAATTGTTGCTTTTGTGCAGATTTCTTGCCTGAGTTGAGAACATGCAAAGTTAGGGGTATTGTTTTGCTTTGTTTTGTTTTGCTTTGCTTTGCTTTGCTTTCCTTTGCTTTGCTTTGTTGGAGAGGGACCATTTATTTTCATTCTTGGAAATTTACATTTACAGAAAGGTTCATTCACTGATACACGGGTTTTCCCCTCCCTCCCCAGACTCCTCCAGAAATGCAAAGTTTTAAACTGCAATTTAAAAAGCAGTGTTTCTGACTATTCCTTTCCCCCCTGCACTGCCCAGTGGTAACCGGGCTGACCTTTTTCTGTGTTTGTTGACAGGCAACTGTTTCTGGGGATGAGGGGGATATGTTCTCTTTTCCGATCAGCCCCAGAACCAGCTACATGGTGCGGATAAGAGCCGCCAACTCCCGGACAGAGCCACAGCGGTGGGGAGCCTGGAGCCAGCCTGTGGGGTTTGGTGAGTGCACTGAGGGAAGGAGGGGTCCCTGAGGGGGGGGGGTAAAGGTTCTGGCTGAGTGGACACTATGGGCAGCTGTGCTCTCTGATATTACGTAGGAACATCAAGGATCTGTAGGGAACATCAACAATCAGTAGGAAAAATGATAGACAACTGATAAATAGATACATGAAAGATAGGGAGGAGATTGGATGGGTTGTGGGTGAGTGGATGGATGGATGGA